AGGTTTTGGTTATGAGTCACTTTTTAAAGAATACCTTAATGGGACAGTCACAGAAGTTTGGATAGAAGATCCGTACATTAGACACACTCATCAGGTAAGTTAAGTATACTAAATACAGTAAACTCTTCTTTTACATGTATAGTCAGCCCTCGGTGGGTACCACATGCATAGATGCAACTAAAGGTGGAAATTTTTGCTTCAAATTTCATCTATACTGAACAGACACTTTTCTTGTCATGGTTCATTTACACAATATAACAGCTATTTATGTTATATCCAGTATTACAGTAATCTAAAGGTGATTTAATGGATATACGTGTGTAAATGCTGCACTGTTTCTCTGGTGTGAGAAACTGAAAGTGTAAATAAAGATCAAAGAGTATGAAAGACATTGTGAAATAGGAAAATGTTCAAGTAGGAAGGGGAATTGGGGAAGGGGAAAGGAGGGAAGGAAAAAAAATGAGAAAAGAAGGAAAAAATGGAAAGTAAGTTTTTATAAATGAGGGAAGAGGGAGGGATTGAAGGGAGGATAGGGGAATGGGACTAAAGTAATGTTATATCATGTAGAGGTACAAATTCCCTATGATGAATGTATGATTATGTGTACCTGACATGTACCAATAAACTTAATTTTTAAAAAATAATTTAAAGTATTTGGGAGGATATGTGCAGGTTCTATGCAAATAGTGCACCATTTTCCTAAGGGACTTCACGGCTATGAATTGGGGGAGGGGTCCTGGAAGCCACGCCCCCGCAGTGCTGAGGAACTACTGTACTGGCTAGTTATTATCCATCCTAATGTCTTGCAGCTGTATAATTTCCTTCGATTTTGCGAGATGCTCATTAAGAATCCATGTAAAGTAAAAACCATTCACCTTCTCACCTCTCTGGATGAAGTAGGTACCTGAAAGAAACACCTCTCTTGCTTAGCATATTAACTTTTTTCAATAATGAGATGTAAGCTGAGGAAATGCTGTTAATTTTAGGATGTTGACTTGGGTTTGACCATTTTCCCAAACTATTCACATAATTTGTCACTTTCTTCTCTGGGATGTTCTAGATGATCATGCTGTCTGCACTACTGATAATCTTTACTAATTCTTGTGTTGTATCTTCATAAATTTTTAGCAGCATGTTGATAGGCATATTTATCTTGATTGGAACTTGTGTCAGTTACTTTTCTCTCATTGCTGGGACAAAACACCCAACACTCAAGAAAAGAAAGATTTATTTAGCTCACAGTTAGTGGAGGTTTTAGTCCATATTCTGCCAGCTCCAAGGCAGATTGGCACATGGCAGAGGGCAGCAGTTCATGGTGGCAGAAAACCGCAAAACAGCAAGAGCAGAATGGTGGAAGCAGTGGCAGAAATGGCAACAGAGAGCAAGTTTGTGTCCCTTATGTTGCATTCAGGCTATCTGACCCAGTCTGGGTATAGTACTCACACCCGTAATCCCAGCATCACTCACACCCATAATCCTAGGCTTGGATCATGAATTAATCACAAACTCTAGAACCGTACCCCAATGACTGCATGATGCCTTGGGGGAATAAACATACACAAACCATAACATTCTGCTGCTGGACCCCCAAAGACTAATGCACATCCCTTTATACAAAAGGCATTTTAGTCCATCTCTAACAATCCAAAGTCCTAATAGTCTTAGCATTGCTGAAAAGTCCAAATCCCAAGTCTTAGCTGTGAGCCCCTGTACAAATGAAAAGGTAAACACTTCATATAGTCAGTCAATGGCCCTAGATAAATATTACCATTCCAAAAGGTACAAACAGCAGGATTGGGACCAAAGCAAGTCCAAAGTCCAGAAGGGTGAACACTAAGTCCTATAGTTCCATGTGGAACATCTGAAGCAATCTGTGGCGAATTGTGAGCTCCATGTGGCTCTATACCTGTGGCACTCTTGGCTCCCATGGCTTCTCCCTACGCGGACTTTGCTCCCACATTGCTCCCCTTAGATGATCCACATTCCTGGCTTTTCCAAACTTGCTCTCTGCTTCACACACTGCCCTCTCAGAGGCATACTCCCTGACCTCCCAGACTTTCTGAAATCGAGGTGGAAGCCTTCTTATGCTCAGAACTCTTGCATTCTGCCTGCCTAAAACCAATGCTACGTGAATGATGCCAAGGTCTGCTGCCACCTGGAGCAGTAGCCAGGCTTTCTTCTCTTTTGGCTGTAGGAGTTGAGAGCCTGGATCTCTGAGCACTCTGAACCAGATTTTGAAGAACAAATTCTCTATGCCAGCACCATTCTGGAACATGGTGCTCTGTGGCTCTCTCCTCAGGGCAAAGTCCCTCACCCTTGTCATTTGAAGGCTGCAAAGGGCGGAGACTTGCTGCTTCCTGTGATGCCCTCAGGCTATCCGTTCTATTCTCTAGTTCCTTCCTGGCAATGGAGATCCTCTCAGCTCTATTTTTGCAGACCACAGCTTTATTGGCGCTTCCTTTCTGGCCAAACTCACAGCATTTTAAATCATCTAGCTAGGCTCTTTTCTTTGTTCTTGATTCTCAACATATATCTGCCTAAAAGCCCCCAACAATAGCCATGCCACTGCTTCAACATTTGACTGCTTTGAAATTTCATTTGCAAGATTAAGCAGTCCATCCTGCTTAATCTTAGTCTCAGGCAAAATCTCTGGATTTGAGCAAAATGTAGACAAAACTGTTTGCCAAGCCAAAACACAGATTGGCTGGAGTCCAACAACCAATATAGTCTTCCTTCCCAGAAGAAACCTCCCCAGTCTGGTCTTTACAGGCAGGATCTCTGTCAGCCTTCTGGTCTTCTGAGCTCTGACCAGATTCTCCCATGTAAAACAGCCGAAGCTGTTCCAGTGTTTTACTCATAGGCAACATCTCCAAACCCTTCCTATGTCTTCTCATAAACCATTCCCAAAGGCTTGTAATCCACATGATCAGGTTTAGTCATAGCAATGACTCCACAGCTCTGGTTCCAAATTCTGTCTCAGTTACTTTTCTCTCATTGCTGGGACAAAATATCTGACACCCATAATCCCAGCTTTGGATCCTGAATTAATCACAAACTCTAGAACAGTACCCCAGTGACTGCATGAGGCTTTGGGAGACAAATACAAACTATAACAGAACTTAAACAGGGATGCTTCTAAATAGGATTTCTAGAATAAATTTAAGTGGGCAGCTACACATGGATAACCAAACATCATTACTAAAATACCTTTAGTTGAGACAGGTTGAAGTTGTGTTATGGTCATAAGTGACATATAAAGTCACTTATTTTGTAAGCCACTTCACATTCTTGGGTTGTTTGTTTGAGATAATGGGCCTTCAAAATACTGTAGAATTTTAAAATTTTGATCCACCTACAATATTCACTATATAGCATAGGGATAATTTGAAATGTTTATAACTAAAGCAGCAAATTATATTTTTGCTATTAACAGGGTTGTGGGAGAGTACAGCAAAGTAGTGGCCTGGAAGAAATAAAACAATCCCTCAGGAATCATGGAGTGCTTTTGGAAATAGAATATTCTTCTTCAGTACATGACCGAGAAATTAGGTGTGTGTATAATAATACTTTAATTTTTATGTAGCTTAAATATAGTTTTAAAATTTCTGTTATATAATTGCATACAAATATA